TTTTTATACCTTTATACCTAAGAAGTATAAAAATAATAGGTGTCAAGTGTATTCTAATGAGTGTGTCCAGGAAATCCCTACAGAAATCATATCCTTGGCAAGTCAGTTTTACTCCAGAATTTGGTATCACCTTAGCACTACAAAAGGAAGAATAATTCTCAGTTCTTTAAGGACAACAAATTTTTTTTTTTTTCTTTTCTGTAAGAATAGGAAAGACTCCTTTTGGAAATGTAACATTTCTTGCTGGCTGGGACTGAAAAAAAAAGTTTTCATTTTCCCCACTATTGCCACCTGGTGGACAAAGGCAATGCCTTTAGACAGCACGTAGAAACATGTCTTTGTATTACCACAAGATGGCAGCACACAACCAAGTTTTCAAAATGCCAGCAGGGCTCAAAATATTCAGGGTTTTGCTTCTCCAAACAGAATGGTCTATTCCAACAGAAGAGGATGAATAGGAAATAATAGTACAAAATAAGCACTCTGTTTTGTTTCCCTAAAGATAAATGGAATACCAAGTCTTAAGATCATTAATTAGTATTTCAATCAAAGAGAATGAAATCTTGCCATTTTCAACGACGTGAATGGAACTAGAGAGTATTATGCTAAGTGTAATCAGTCAGAGAAAGACAACGATCATGATTTCACTCATATGTGGAATTTAAGAAACAAAGTTGATGAACTTAGGAGAAGGGAAGGAAAAATAAAATAAGATAAAAACAGAGAGGGAGGCAAACCGTAAGAGAATCTTAATTGTAGAGAACAATCTGAGAGTTGCTAGAGGAGAGGTGGGTGGAGGGTGGGCTAGATAGGTGATGGTCATTAAAGCACACACCTGTTGGGATGAGCACTGGGTGTGGTACATTGGTGATGAATCCCTGGTTCTGCTCCTGAAACCCCGGGGCTGCACTGTATATTAGCTAACCTGAATTTAAAAAAAGAAAAAAAAATCATTAGTATTTCACAAACCGGTTTATTTATTGCAACAGGGAGGGCTCCTGAAATCTAACTCGTAACCTCGTTTGCTTTTAAAGGTATGCATATTTTTTATCTGGTTCTTGTGCTATATTTTTTATAGACTATAATATTTGGGCAATGTTTTAAAATCATTTTTTTTATTTTTTTTAAGATTTTATTTATTTATTTGACAGAGATCACAAGTAGGCAGAGAGGCAGGCAGAGAGAGAGGAGGAAGCAGGTTCCCGCTGAGCAGAGAGCCCGATGCAGGACTCGATCCCAGGACACTGGGACCATGACCTGAGCTGAAGACAGAGGCTTTAACCCACTGAGCCACCCAGGAGCCCCTAAAATCCTTCTTTTAATGAACTCTTTTTAATTCATTAGTAGGGGAGTTTCTATTCCCTAAGAGAAATATTTAGACATGTAGACTCTTAATCCAGGCCTGCATCACTGACTGGTTAACCCGGGCTTATTGCTGGTTTTCCCCTGACCAAAATGCTACCTGGTCAGTCTGCTTCCCTATCACTTGGGTGTGCTAGCATCTCTTAATGTTTCATTCATCCTTACTGCTGCAGTAGATTTTTTTTTCATTATTATTATTCTTTGGATCCACACTTCCATAGCTTATGTGTTAAGATATATTTTTCTCTTTTCCACCAAACTTTCACTGAAAGTCCTCTGTAGAGGGGATTTTAACCCAAATCTGATAATAATGACTCATGCATTGAGCACTTAACTGTGTATCTAACAGCATTCTAAGTACAGCATGATAATTAGTTTATCTAACCGATACCACAAATTTATCAGGAGTGTGTTGATTACATGTATTTTACAGATAATGAGGCTGAGGCAAAGAGAAGTTAAGTGGTATTTTCTAGCTTAAGCAGGTCTTCCTGCCTACCCCGGTTCCTGAACACTTGCTTGGAATTATTCCCATGAGACCTGTGATTCAGGGATGGAGCCAGGCAAACCAAGTATTCTTGACATGAAGATGGTCCCTTTAGGGATCTAAGCTTTTTTGGGTGAAAAAGCAATCATTCCATGACCTTGTAGCATCCTTACAAATTCCAAAGAATGATAAATTGAAAGGCTTGACCCAAGAAAGAAGGGCAGTTGCCTTTTGCACAAGAGTAGAGCTCAACTGTCCCCAGCTGATACAGAATCATTGAAATATCCCGGGGAGAACCCTAGAGTTATACCGGCTACAGTGACCTAGCCTTGCTTTAATAAAAACACCAGAGGGGCATTGTCGGATAGTGGACAGGGTTCTAGTTGGAGAATTGAGAGCCCTAAATTTCAGTCTCAGCTTTACTCTGTGCGACCCTGGGTAACTGATCATACTAAGCTAAGTACATTCTCTATGGTGCCTTTTCCACAATTTTTAAGGCAACATATTTATTTCAAAGAAAAGTAGTCAGAGTCAGTATCACGAAAGCGGCCGTGTGTTTTTTATATACAGTTGAAACATCAGTAGTCACATGGTCAGCATAGTCAATAGGTAGAGTTGTTTGATAAACAAAACGGTGTTTTATATCCTGATGAAATCTGGCTTCACTTCTGGGGTAAGAGTGACATTGGCTTCTGGCTTCTGCTAGGAGAGGAGCAGAATTCTCACTGCATCCTTCTGTATGGGCTTCCACGCAGAAGACTTCAGTACTTGTGCAAAGAACAGACTAACTCTTCAAAGACAGACAGACAGGTGCCAGTGGCTTTGAGCATCTTCAGAAGTGCCTCTAGAGGACCACCAGCAAGCATCGTACAAAAGAGCATTCACACTGGGATCCCCCCATCCCACATCAGACTAGTTTAGGCAGACTGTCCTTACGTGTAGCTACAGCTCGCTGTTAGGAGCCGCCTGGCTGCTGAATTGTAGCCAAACATTTTCAAAATGTCAGACTCTAGGAAAATTGTGCCCTCTTATAGCCATCATAAGAATAGCCTAAAATGGCACGCTGTTGGAGGGCTTCTTCTTGTGACCTCCTTTGGAGAGATAAATGGAAAATTTGTGAAGGAAATAGACTGCACTGAACCTCAGAAATTTTGTAGACCTGATTCTGAAGGTCTGAGCCCTTTGTGCTACATCAGATTATAAGTAAGCTACTCAGGCTCTCTGTTGTTTTAACCGTCTCAGGCTCTCTTGGGAGGATGCTTGGCCTGTATTTATTTTTCTCATATTTCAGCGATTCTAAATCTTCTCTGGCCCATTGTGCATTCAGAGTGCCTTCGTGCATTGGCCGTACTACAAGGAGGAACAGGAGTAGAGACAGCACTCGCTTCCTTGGAACTCATAGTCCCGGAGTGAAGTCAAACATTAATCAAAACCTCAGACAAAGGAATTTAAAATTAAAACTGAGATGAGTGTCATGAAAGCGAGCAGAGCTTATAATAAAGGGACTTCATTTTACTAAGGAGACTGAGAAAGTCTCCCCTGACTTTCTGAAGGAGGAGTGGGGTTACTAGTAGTGATAACATTGGGCCATTGGCCCTACAACTACCACAAAAAACATGATCCCAAGGAGAATGAAGGAAATTTTGTGGGCTGGTGTACAGAGATGAGACACACTGATGAGGCTGAAGAGATGAGGGAGTACGATCTGGGTCCTTACTCTGGAAGACACAAGAAAGCATTGAACAAGTTTCAATCTGGAAAATGAGGTAACCAGCTATCCAATTCAAAAAGCTCTCTTTAGCTTCAGAGTTCAGTACTTCACTCAGGAAGTAAAGTAAAATTTCACTTTACTTCCTGAGTGAAAGAGTGTTACTAGAGGGTGCGAAGTCATGTCTTGACCACGGAGAAGACAATCCATATCCCACAGCCATGGTTTGGGTTCCTACGTCTAACTAACCATCCACTTGGTCCTGAAAGTCAAAGTGTTATCCTATGGAAACTTTACACATTTACTTCTAAAGATCTAACAGTATTGTTGCTTAGTTGATAAAGTTACTCAAAAGGGAATTCAGGTATTTGACCAGTATGAGTTTTTCCAACCTGAGATTTATACATTTAACAAGTATCTACTGAACACATACTGCATGTCAGACTCTAATCCAGGCACAAGAATACAATGGTTGAGCAGACAGACACCTTTGCTGCCCTCATGGAACATATATTTTAATGGAGGAGATAAACTTTAACCAAGCAAATAAGTAAATTCTTAAAATGATACATGTAGTGATAAATGCTAAGAATATTAATAAATCAGGGTAAAGGAATAGAAAGTGACCTGCGGGGAAGGGCGTGCTCCTGGGGTGGCTAAGTGGGTTAAGCCTCTGCCTTCGGCTCAGGTCATGATCTCAGGGTCCTGGGACCAAGCCCCACATCAGGCTCTCTGCTCAGCAGGGAGCCTGCTTCCTCCTCTCTCTCTTTGCCTGCCTCTCTGCCTACTTGTGATCTCTGTCTGTCAAATAAATAAGTAAAATCTTTAAAAAAAAAAAAAAAAGAAAGAAAGTGACCTAGGGTTCCATTTTGATAAGGTGATGGGGAAGTCCTTCCTGAGTTGGTATCCTTGCAGTAGAAATCTAAATGAAGGAACTGTGTGGGCCATGCAGAGATCTGGGGGAGAAACATTGCAAGCACATAAAACAACAGGTGCACCACTTATAAAGCTGGAAAGGATTTAGTGTATTAGGAGAAAAGCAAGGTCACCTGGCTTGAGTGGAGTAAACCAGGAGCAAAAATGGCAGGAGGGATTGGAGGCCAGACACATTCCATCATTTCACTAAATTGCAGTCAAGTGTACTTCTACATGCCATTCTCAGTGTCCTTGTACTTGTCTATACACATAACATATAACATCAAGTGTTTGTAGTTGGAAGTTATTTTTGCCACCTCCAACTGCACAACATTTGTTCCAACAAAACAATCTCTTTCCGTGTGCCTTTCTTTCATTCTCTACCAGTACTTGTTCCTATTAGAATGTTCTTTCCACCTTTTGTCCCATTCTCCTTTCAGTGGAGAGTACCAGATTACCTTTGTGTGTATTCTCAATTGATAAAAATTTTTTATCTGTTTTTTCTTTTGCTAAATGTTTCTTTTTTAGAAATTGGCACCACCGTGCACTTCAAGCAAAAAGGTATGGTTCTTATTTCTGATTACCTACTGTATGTTAAAATTAAGATTTCTTAGCCATATATTAGAGTCTTATACACTTGAGTTTATTTCATCTCAATAATTTGTGGTAATAATTTCCACAACATATGTGCCACTATGTTTCCCAGACTGTGAACTTTCTCAGCCACAAAAAGCCCTGATCCAACCCATGACCCTCTATCATTTTTGACAGCTGTTCATTTTTAAATCTCTGGAACTGAACAAGTTATTCCCCCTCCCACTTTCCATATCCCAAGCGGCCATGGTTAATTCTTGCAGAGCTGCACTTTTGGCAGTGTTTGCTGCGCAGTGACCAGGCTCTCATCAGAGACAGAGAGCCTACTTGCTGTCCTTAGTGGGTTATTAAAGTAGATATATTGCTAAAAGGAGTAAGAGTAGCATCTCCTAAAATGAAGCACTTGAACAGTTAATATTCTCCTGTCTCAGTGTTCTCCCAGGTCTTCCTATAACCTCCCCTTTTTATGGTACACCCAGCTGCTGGGGTCTCCCAGAAATAGCACCAAATGCCTCCATCAGCCTTGTGACCCAGTAATCACCCACATCTCCCTACAAAGACAATGCAATCAGGTGAAAGCTTCATGAACTGGAACCTTCGATGCAAACAATTACCAATTCTGAAGTGCCCTCTTTACAAGTCCAGCAGAAATCCTTAACAGTGTCTGTCCCCAGACTAAAGCTACAGAGGAACCTTCATGGCCAGACAGCAGCCTCCTTAAGTCCTCATGGCCACTCACTTGGATTGGTCTCATATGAAGATGTTTTCTTCTGTTGGCCTCAAAGGGGATGAGACAACCAAGGTCATTCTCAATTGTGAAAAGTTTTCCTGTGGGACTTACACCCTACCAGTGACCAGCAGCCACAGAAATTTGGACACTTTGTTGCTTACTCCCTGGAAAGGGTCAGCACCTTGTTTATGGCCCACTCTAGGAAGTCTTCTCAGAAGGTCGCAGAGATGAAGCCATCAGAAATACATACATTGAACCAAGATCATTTGGGGCAAGAAGGTATAAACTCATGTCTCTTTCAGCCCTTCTTTCCCCAGTGCCATGAGTATCAATTACATGTGAATTTTAAGTGGCTAGTATTAGTGGAACATATGATACCTTAGGGTTTTGGAGAAATAGGTCATAGGGTTTTATTTCAAAGACCACCAAGATAAATTCCTAGTGTCACCCAAAGGAATTCTAAGTATTGGCCTAAAATTTCAAAATTTTGTATGCCAAAATATTTAATGTTGCTTTGATGGGGAGGATGTGATGGACTTTACCGTGAGGGCACATAATACATTATATGTTAATTTTAAAATAAATAAATAAATAATGGGGGGGGGAGTGCAATTCAGCTTTGCCAATAAAATTTTAAAAAAGCATTATGTAGGAGGAGCCCAAATTTAATTCTAAAACACATTGCTCAAATTAAACATCAGTATATTCCCTCCTCTATGCTCCAGCCTGGAGAATATAGGCTTTAATCCCTAATTCCTTCTCGCCGAGGAAGCTGTACTGTCTGAACACAGAGAGCAGGTGGCGCCAAAGTCAACCTTATCAGACTTCCCTTTAAACATGGCTTCCCAGGACAGGGAAGCACTTCAGCCTGCACATCTAGGTATTATAAGAGAGATTTTAGGAGATTGTTTTTCTTCTTTGCTTAGCAATTATTTTGTATTTGAGTTTTTGTTTTATTTTCACTCACTCGGTCAGCCCTTAATAATTGTAAGAAGAATTCAAACTTAAACTCATAGGTCTTTCTTCTCTTGTGTGGCTCAACTAACTACAAGAATAAAATTATTATTGGCCTTGATTCCTTACTGGCTGAAAGGAATGCCTGACGATTGCTGAAGCTGTGACAAATGTTGTGTTGTTGTTGTTGTTTAAGAAAGATTATTATGAATAAATCTAGTAAAAAATCCAGGTAACAAGCCCTAAGTACTCAGGAGAAGCAACAGAAGTGCATTGGCTAGATTTGAATGAGTCACAAAGTGTCTCCAAGTGCATGCTCTCTGAAGCAGGTGTTGGAAAATCACCTTGTACTTTCTTTGAGATTTTACTGAAAGACAACCAATTGACTGAGCATCCTGCATCGAATTCGTGTAGAGACTTGCCGAAAATTCTCATATCCTGCAATTTCAGGATGCTTTATTAACTTTGTCCTTAATCACAGATTCCCTTGTAAAAGCGTTGTGGTAGCAAAGTACAGTCCAGCATTCACCTTTGATACAGAATCTCACTTATCATCCTGTCCTGAGGTTGAGAACCTTGACCTGGTGTGTTGACTCAAGATTCTCAATCTTGCTACAGCTGAATTTTGCTCCTTCGGGTCAAACTTCAAATGCCTTGACCCAATTCACAAAGGCATAGCCTCTGATTCAGGAGTATTTCATGTCTTTCTATAATACAGCCTTCTGTAGTTAATAGCAATGATGATGATGCTACCATTTATTGAATGTTTACTAGATACCACACATGTAAGTGTGCACACACACACATAAACACATATAGAATATGGCTAAATGCCAAGATATGATTTTTGTCTGTTGTATGAAAAACGTAGCAATTCTTGAATTGTGGTTCTATTTGCCTATCTATTCTTAAGGCTAATTTATGTTTACAGACTCTTGCTTTCATTATATCTGTCAGTATATAAAAGCACTTGCTGAGCCTGGCCATCTGGTGTGGGAAATAAGATTTATCATTTGCATTTCCACAAATAAGCAGAAATTTCATAACTATGAGCTAAAACGTAATTAATGATTTTGCTGATTATTCTTCCCTGAAATAGCCATTAACTGAAGTAGTCTCCTATGCAGTCATATATATCTATAATTGCATACACACTTGTGATGATTCTCCAACTATCATTCATTTACCCTTGCATTTTTTTCAAGCTATTTATTTACTCTCAAAACCAATTATGAAAAGAGCAAGTCATATAAGCACATCAAATAGCTATATGAGAGCACTTAATAAATAATAATTGATAGAAGTGAAGATACTCTTAACAGATCTATGAGATGCATTTCAAATATATAATAATAGTTCTACTAAGGATAAAATTAAGATTATTAGCAGAGTACTGGGATTCCCTATACATATCATAGACCAGCATGTGAAAGTAACAGTTAATTCTCAATTATGTCTATTAAAAGACCAATAATATGTGTGTATGGTATATCAATGCATATATCATATATATGAGTATGCATACATATAACATATCTACTTCTCTTTGTATCTGCAAATATATGTGTGCACATACACTAGCAAAAATGTTATATGTGAACATGTTTTTATACATATATATATATGGTATTTTTCAATGACGGAATTTCTGCTTTCTCAAATATTTATTGCCCTTCACATAAAAGACTAGGTTTTTTAGACTTTTAGACTTCCCCAGGTACCACTCACCTCCAAGATGTCTGAGAGATAATCTAGCCTATCCCAGCACTAAAAAATGAGATTAAGGATATAGGCAAAAGTAGACTCTTTGTAAAACCCTTCTATTTCACACTATCCCTAGGGCAAAACAAAAATCTTTTTTGCTTGGTCCTGTGTGTGTTTAGTCTTTTTTCTGTTTTGGAAGCTGTCCTGACCCACTAATCCAAATGAATGACTTTTAAAGCATTTAGAGGAATTAAAATGATAGGGAAATGTATTACCATCTTGCCAGAAGCCCTGGGGAGTTGCCATTGAGGGAACTTAAACATCCCAAAGGCCAAAAAGGATGGTGGTGAAGGGTGTGGAGGGTGGGCTACGAAAGGCATGGAGCTGAGACTTTGAACACCTGTATACTATTGCTTGGTCACCAGTTCCCATTAGGTGCTTTACGCAGGATACATGATCTTCTTGAACCTAAATTCTTCACGAAAGGCATGAACCCGAAGGTAGCCTTTATTAATATTATTACCCGAAGTGTCCTTTATTAATACAATCCTGTAGCCATTCAGAAACTTAAAGAATTGACCGATTGGATATTTGAATTGTTTACTCTATATCTTCGTAGCTTTCCAGATAATGAAGCTCATTTTTTACCATAACTATACAGTTCAAAATTTGTATATATTCATTCATATTTTTAGAGCAAGTAATATTTTTAATATTCTCAAGGAGACATTCTAGTAAAACATATTCTATTGAAAATTGTTTTTAAAGGTAATGGTTGCCTCCACGTTGTGTTTTGTTTGTTATGGCTATTGTTTTAAAAACACCCAAAATTCATTTGCTGAACATTTCCTTCCTTCACTGTGTAACTTCACTGTGTAGTGGTGACAGGCAAAGACTGGAACCAGCCACCTGTGTCAAAACCCCAGCTCCTCTGTTCACTAGCTGTGTAAGTGTGTGCAATGCCTCTTACTAGCTCAGTGTAAAAAAGGGTTCATTATAATACCTGTCTCATAGCATGGTTATATGCTTACATGTGTAAATTATCTGTAACAGTACCTTATAGTAAGTTCTGTTGTAAGTATTGGTTTTATTTAGTTATTGTTGCCATTATTTACATAAAACACAGATTAGGAGGACATTCTTGAATTCAGCATTTTCCCTGTTATTTGACCTCTGATCTGATATATTTGTAGATACTTTTGGAAACATTCACCTGTCAGAGGACCATCGTAGGTTTAAAAACACACATGCGCGCGCGCACACACACACACACACACACTCGCAGATTAATTCACACACATTGATCTGCATATATGTGCAAAACTGCGAAGTGATCCTTAATTAGTCACATTTATTTCTTTTTTGAACATCATTGTCTAAGCGTACAGTTTTAAATCTAAAAATCTTTGTTGTGAAAAACACTAACATTTTCTTCTTGTAATAGATCTATATGAACAGAAGTATACAGAAGGAGAAAATGGAGCAAACAAAGCATAGGAGACAAGCTCTTGGGGCCTACATTTTCTGCCCCAATTCTCTCCTTTCTGTCAACACACAAATGCCTTCTCCACTTTCCTCCCCATTCCAGTCTCCCCCTTAGATCCATACCCACACACTCCAAATCGTGTCCGCTTTGGGAAAACTGAGGTGGCGGTGGGAAACACAGAGGCTGCCACTCCAGGGTGAATTCTGGGCAGGTTCAAGTCTCAGTTCTGCTTCTGGTTTAGACCTGCCCCTTAAACTCTCTAGGTTTGGTTGTCTTTGTTGTTGTTGTTGGTCCTGCCGCCTTGGCTTTTGATCCTTAAAGTGTCACATGAAGAGTTTGGATCAGATGATCCCCTGCTGTCTCTTAAGCCTCTACAAGGAGTGGGCTTATTTTCCTACCTCGCGGCTAAGGTGCATTCAGCCATAGTGTTCCTTGGAAACAATTCCCCTTCCCATTAACAAATAAATAATTACCATTTCCCCCTGAGGAATGCGAGGTTCAGATTGGTCCCATGTTTTATTGATGGAGATATGGGATGAATCAGCTGGAAGAGCCCATGTCTTGGGGCTGAAGGACCCTCACCCATGTTTGGCATCTTAACGGGGGCCGGCGTCACAGTGCCATTCAGAGCAGAGTGTGCGAGAGGAGGTTGGGTGAAGAGGACCCCGCTGCACCAGCAGACACATCAGTGATCGCTTTCTCCAGCAAGAGCATTTCCTATTCAGAAGTGTTCAACCACTGATATCCCCTGAGATACTTACAACTCAAGGAGAAGGATTTAGGAAAGATGGGGAGCCCTTCTTGGGCTGTACATAGAGCACTGACTTCAAGGTGCTGGTATGTGGCACATTCTCACCTCCAATACTGTGAGCTGTCACCTGTGACGTAGAGGGAGTCTGGATGTAATTATTCTCTCTTCTCTCTCTTTTGCATTGCAGGGCCTGGGTCGGTGAGAGGAATAAATGGATCCATCAGTCTGGCCGTACCACTGTGGCTGCTGGCAGCGTCTCTGCTCTGCCTTCTCAGCAAATGTTAATAGAATAAAAATTTAAAAATAATTTAAAAAAACACACAAAAATGCGTCACACAGGATACAGAGAGAGAGAGAGAGCAAGATGGGGGGAGACTGTTTATTTTACAGCTTTGTGTGTTTATAAATGAAGGGGGAAATAAGAAAACAAAGAAGAAAATAACTTAAAACCATTTTAAAATCCATCAATAAAAACTAAACTATAAGTCAGGGTGGGAAAAGTTCTACAAGGATACGTGTATAGCGAAGCAAATGTATACTACATAAAGACTACATCATGCTAAGAACACCTGGATGTTGTAAAAATAAGACCAGTAAAGAAGTATCAGATGGATATTAACCCCCCACACACACTTTATCCTTCCTTCATTCTTTTTCATCTGTGGGGAAAGAAAAAAATAAGGTCTTGCCTTTGATGTTTATATTTCCATCATCTTTTTATTTCGTTCTTCATTTGAGCTGACTCATAGCCATTTCAGACTATCAGTGGAATTCACGCTGGAATCCCATGTTGAGCCTTTACCTGGCTTTCCTGCCTCCACTATCTTTCCAACTTTTAAGACCATCTCTTGCCCCTCCAGTGTGTTCTATCTCCCCCACATCCAACCCAGAGACTCCCTTTCACCCCTCTTCCCCCCCTGGCTGCTGCTTCTCTTCACCCCCTACTACACCCTCCAGCACTAGTCATGCCGCAAATGCTAGGAAGTGCCATTTTAATTTTCTCCACTGTGTGCGCGTGCTCAAGTCTCTCGCTCTCACGTGGGTGTACATGTGTGTGAGCGTGTGTGTGTGTCTCTCTCTAAAGCATGCCAAGGGAACGGTCCATGTGTACATAGACTCATTGTGCTGTAGATACTGTCCCGCATTGTAATCGTGAGATGCGGCTGTGACAAGTTGCTGGGGGACATGGTGGGGAAGGAGGCATGGAGCAGGGCTCCCCACCCTCCCCCATGGCTGTCACATGACATTAGTGTGTATCAACACCAAGCTGTGCCCCTTCTAAGGGCAGAACCTCATATTCCTCCTAGTCCAATCATCAGAACCCAGTCAAGAGTCACTCAGAATATCACTGTAAATGAAAGTGCCTACTATTGATGGGGTGAGCAAACAGTAGAAAGAATCAGTGACGTCAATGAGGTGACCTAGGAGAGATTTCTGATTTCACTCTTGTTTCCTGAGTCTGAGGAATTCATGTATTTCCTGGCTTTTTGCAGGCTCGCTGCAGGAGTGAGTAGCATGTGTTGAGTAAATCCCAAGAACCAGGAAGGTCTCCAAGTGTTAACTCATGAAAGGATGATGAGCCACATGGAGATCCAAAGCAGCCCTGTAATGCCCCTTCCCTGATCTTCAAATAACACTGCATTTGGCCCATGGATTCCCTTGAGCAGAGATTGTTTCCTATTTCAGATAAAACCTAGGGAGAGTGAGCAAGGCAGGAAAAATAGACAGATGCACAGGTCCCTACTCATCTTGCAGAGATGTTGGCAGAACTCTAGACAAAGCATTGACCATAGCAAGAAGGAATTCATTCCTTGTGCTCCTTTGCAGATATTTGTTCTGGTGTTGTAAGCTAATACTTTATTTGGTGGCCTGCACGATCTCTTTTTTGCTCCACTGGTAATGTTTGCAGCACCATTGTTGTAGTGGTCCGTCATTATCCTAGGCCAGGCTGCTGGAATATATTCCACCTTCCCTGCTCACTTTTGGCTTCTGATTCCTGAAAAAGATACTGTGGAGGATACGATGTCTAAGTTTACATTGACAAGAGTCATCTGAAATAGGAGTTAGTTTCTTCATCAAAAGAACTGGGAAACTTGTAATAATTTAGGTAGAAGTTGTATGCATACCACAAAGCTTGGTATCGCGGCAACACCAGGATTTTCTTAGGAAAGGTCTTGCAGAGAGAGCTGGCTCTCTGTCTGTAGATATCTTTGTCAGGAAAATAACCATTGCTTTCACTTAAACTATAGGAGGTATTGGAAGTGGTTTGGTTTATGAAAAGACAGAGGATTATTATTGAGGTCATAATTAAATGTATTTCAGAAGAGCCAAATATGGTACCTCCTCTAGTTTCAGAACCTGAAAAATAGTTGTCATCGAATATAAAACAGGAAACTTCCTAACTGCAAATAGAAAAAGGAAGGAAGAGAGAAAGGAAGAGAGGAAGCGAAGGAAAAAGAGGAAAAGAGGGAAGGAAGGAACGATGGAAGGACCTGAAATTTCTGGTAGGATTTATTAATTGAAGGCTCTTTGCAATGAACCTTGTCTTTGAAGGTAATGATCTCTTTGATAAGCAACATTTAAAATCTGTTCTAGGGGATTCTATTGTTCATTTTGGAAAGCTTATCACCAGTCTTCTTTTATGATTTTGCCGTTTAGACATGAAACAGAAGGGCAAATTGGGCTTGGGGATGGATAAGAGTATTTGTGGCAGATCCTCGCATAGTACAGAAATTCTTATCCCAGAAAATAGCTTCTAAAATATAGGGAAGGTGAGCCATATTCCTATCCAGCATCAATGTATTGACAATCGGGGTTTCTCTAACATTTTGGTCTTAGTACAGGAATAAAAGTTTATCATCATGGATGATAAGTGTTCCCCACATATTGAAAAGCCAGTCACATCCTTAGGTGGAAGCTTTAGAGGAATGCATGTGAATTTAAAGATATATAAGAAAAGAAAAGTAGCAGGAGTTAATTTGGTTTAGTATCAGTTTCAGGAACAGATCCTTGTGGCATGTGACATATCTTAATCATACACCTACATTTTGTATTGTCTCCACCCTATCATAACGACAAGGTCTTGATTTTATGGAAGGAGATTCTCCACTGAAAGGAATGTCTTCCTTGTCAGCACCATTTGTTCCCTGAGTTTTAATATACTGGACCATATATTAAACATAATTAAACATACATTGAATATTGTGGTGTTTGCATATATCTCTGACAGGATCTGGGGATTTAAAAAAAACTGTCCTGGCTCCTGTTTCAGAGCAAACATTGGCCCCAGAAATCTCCTGGGTTTGAGAATGTCTCTAAGCAATGTGAAGAATGGAGGAGAACATAATTTGGAGAAAGGTCAGGAAAAAGGTAGCAGCCAGAGGACTGACACCAAGAAATTGAGTCTGAACAAGGGACTTCTTGGAATTCAGTTCATCGTATTGCTCTAAATCCCTTCAAGAATCTTTTCCATTGGTAATCAAAACTTGAAACCCTGCATTAAAAAGAACCAACTGGTTGGAAATAATACTCTGAGAGGAGTGAAATTCATCAGTTAATCTGAATGGCTAACATATTTAATGTCCTCTGTATGTAAAAACGAAACTCCACCATTCATAAAACAAAATCCTTAGAACCGACCTTCAGTTAATGAAAACAGAAATGACTTGACCAAGGGCACTTCCTGAAGAATGAGAACTATCCTAGGTTTTACAACCGCAGAATTACATCTTCTGTGCAATTGTTCATCAGAAGGTGTTGCCTTGTTGGAGGAACAGCCTTACTTGTTTTGAGACATAAAATCCCTCTGCCCTAAAACAACTAAGGCTTAGGGGGAAATTGTGTTTTCTGTTGGGGAAGAATTGTCCTATTGACCTTTGCCTTCTCTTCCAAGTCAGACAGACTTCTCCCTTGCCATGGGCATTTTTTTTACGACATATTCAGTCAACTGGGGCTATTCATAGAGACCTTGTAAAAGTACTCGTGATTTTCATGTTCTTGGAGAGAGAAACACAAATCTGTTTCTCCTCCAAAAATGGACTTACCTCCTTTGCACACAAAAACTAAACTCCTCAGCATGAAATTATTTCTGAGTTATTACCTATCAAGTTGTTAGCTTCTTAATTACTCCAGAGTCACAGTTTCCATCCCCAGGTTGGTTGTGGTTTGACTGTTTCTATTGGCTTGTCTCCCAGAATCTCTCCTTTTGTTTTTTGCAGGCCTTGAATTATTTGTGGAAAAATAATATATATGTGTATGTATTTTTTTTAATCTTATCTTTACAGATGCTATATTTACAATATTGTATGTATTATAAGACAAATCTAGAATAATGGTTTAACTTAAAAGGAAAAAAAGTACTGGATTTGGTTAAAAAAAAAAAGAGCTATGCTTCATTTGGAAAGATACGGAGCCCCATTTTTTCTATTTCATAATTACTTGTTTAAGAGGAATTTTTTGTGGACCAAGTTCCATGGGATTAACCATGGCCTTATTTTTCTCTCCATCTTCATAAGTTTTTAGCCTGAATTTATTCTTGGTTACCAGTAACTATCATTTTTTTTTTAAAGAATATAAGTGCAGTGCTATATCTAACCTATAAAAACTATTAACATTTTGGAGACAAATGTTAAATGTACCACAAAAATGATGAGATAGGACCCTAAATTAAGAAACTCAAATTCAGTTCAGGAAGCCTTCTTCTTTCTTACGTCCTTAAAATATTTCTCTTCCAAAGACTACATTTGCCCCAGTGATGTAAATTTTCCATCATGGTTGGCATAATATCTGTAAACATCTCACTAAATGCAAAATGGAGTTTACATTTATGTGCATACTAGTGGAAGAGAAGTAAACTATTCTCATTTGCATGTAGCTATGTTGTCAAAGGCGGCCAACTGAAATTCAAGAGAGAATTTGTTTTCACCCAGCAATGTACATCACTTTCCTCTTGGCAAGGAAGCTGGTGTTAACGTTAGGTTTAGGTTTAACATTTACACCAGCGCAAATGTTTATGGATATTATGGAAAACTTATTTTAAAATCTTGATTTTCTTTCAGTGCATTTACATACTGTGTGCTGATTAATAAATTAGGCACCAATCATGTGTAAATCAATGTAAATCACTAGTTTATGTACATAATATAAACTATGTAAACTTCATTTTTCATGCAGTGCCCTGGTTCAGCTAAATCTATGAATCTTAAAGAAAAAAAGTCAAATAAAAATAAATAAAAACTAAAGCATTTCACAGGTCAGAATGGGAAGGAGTATGACTAATGCCCCGAACAAGAAGGTTGCCTCAGCAAGAGGAAGCAGACCCACAGGAATTATTAAAGGTTGACATCCTGCTCAAGTCACAGGGACCTGGGTCCTTAGTTCCTGAGGGACCTAAGTGCATTTTCTCCCAACTGTTGCCACAGTTGTCTCATCTGACCCCAAAGCAAGGGAAATGAGGAAGGCATTTTAAGGGCTCATGTGTCTGTTGCCTCAACTCCCAGTGTCTTCTTGTTACTTCTTACCCACCATCTAGGATGGCTTATTTAAATAGATCCAAGGAAGTCACCTATAGCTTGGTGAACGAAATATTACTCAGTTTTTATTTTCCATCAGACAAAGACATTGGGAAAGCTTCTTTGTCATCTTGATTCAAAGAAATTATAGGACATAAGAAATACGTTATATCCTTGAGAAATATCGTGCCAAGTTACCCTAGGAAATGATTACTTTTACTTAAGCTGATAGACCTATATTTCTATATATCTATCCTGAATATTGCAAATGAGGACAAAATTACTTTAATTGGGAGTATCTCTCTCAGGCACATTCTCTTGGAGTCTTTTTGAAGGGTCTGATGTGTTTAAGAGAGTGACATGTATGTATTTTCTACAATCTGAACAGCCACAAAGAGCTATCAGAGAGATGACTTTGGAAATCACAGGGACTTTTTGTATGGACATTACAGAAATAAATTTAGGTCAGATTAACACTTCACTTAAAGTACACTCCTCCACCCAAGATAAATGGCAACTTTAAGGTAAAGCAGAAAGTCAAGAGAATTGGATTCTGGCTAGGGTCTGGCCACAAACAAGCTAAGTGACCTAAAGCAAACCATCCTGAAACCTGATTTTCTCACCCTGAAAGTAAGGAATTTGGATCACTTCTCTAGGACCTCTGTCAGCTCTAAACTCTGATTCTGAATAAGAATTTCATGCTCATGTAGCTTGTGGCCAGCTGCTTGTCACCCTCCAGTTGGCCTCTATACCACCTTCGTTTCTTGGAACCATCATCCCATCATCTCCATTTCAAAAGCCAAAACTTTTAGAATACAGGGTCCCCGGACTGGTTCTAAAATTCTCTTCTGATCAAAACTTCTTAGCAATGTAGAGAAGGGACACATTCAGACGACACGGAAGGCTTTGAAATAGCTGGCGTTGTTTCCTTACAATAAAAAATCTAACTTGTTGAACTATATTCTAATACTCTTTCATAGGAAGGAAAGTAACCAGATTGAGTATAATGCATGTGGTCCTTATGAAAGGAAACATCAGGGTTTTGTTTTTGTTTTTGTTTTTGTTTTTGTTTTCCTCCTCCTGGGCCAAGTGCTTCATTTTAGTAAACCTGTGTCCTTGAAAACTCTGCCTGTGATGATGGCAATAGACACGTGGGAACAGGCAGTTTCAAAAGGCTGTTCTGTGAGAAATAGGCAAGACAAAACATTTTATTTTGTAAGGAATTTCTCATGGCATGAGTTTCCCTAAACTTCACTGACTGTTGTGAAGGCTGTGAAGTCAAAAGAGTGAACAGAGAGAACAAGTCCCATTTTCAAAAAGTACAGGTCAATATTATTTAAAGAAGACAGGTTAAAAAGAGGACAAAAACACATTTCAGGAGGTGACAGAGTCAAGTACAGTAAGAGTTGTTGTGAAGGCCAAGATCAAACATCAAGTTCAGTTCTCTGAGAAGAAGGTACGCAGAAATGATGCTTCTCAGGCAGTTAATGAAGAATTATTCTCTTGTGCTTTGTTCTGAATGGACTGAGCACAGGCCCACTTTTTTGAACCCATCAAAGTGTAGCCCCACACTATCCTGGAGCTTTTCATTCACTGCCTCAGAGAACAGAATCTGAGTTTCGTCGTGTATGGAAGAGCAGGGTTTATCCATAACTTCCCAGCATTATATCACTTGATGTAGATAAGGATGTGGGATCCGCTTAAAGCGCTTATCAAGCTCTCTTTAAGTGGGAAAATGACCTGCCCATAGGACAACTCCCCATTTTCATGGTTAGTTCAGAGGTGTCTCTGAGTGGTGCTCCCGGATCTACTCCTGTAGCTACATTGTCCTCTGCACAAGCCTTCTCTATGTAAAGCCAGGCACAGAGTAAAAATCTGCTTCTTGCAAATGGAGAAAATACATGGAACTACTAGCTTCATGGCATGTGGCCGTAATTCCAAGCTATCTGTGGCCTTTTTCGGACCCATTTCCCTAAATCTTTGCTCTTCACCAGAGAATGTAAATGGTTCATTCTGGTGATTATGGCCACGTCCTGCTCCCTAAGTATTTGCTGGGATTGGGGGAAGGTTAAAGGGGAAAAGATGCAGGGGGAGAGAAGTATGGGACAAAACCTCTGTCTTCTTTCCCCCCACCCTGCCTCACCCCTGCCTTCTCACTGCTCTACTGAAGGGTGTATAAATCCTGCTCTTGGTTAGAATTCTCCTTATTAACAGTGTTATATACATATAAATATATATATATATATATATATATATAAATATATTCCTTTTTTTTTCAGCCCTGTAGACATAAACAGAACTTTTCCTTGATGATACAAACACATGGCCATTTTTTATTTGGGTTTTTTGTTGTTCAAAGTTTATTTTTGTTTATTGGATGGATTTTTTTTCCCTGAATACTAGCTCTGTGAAGGAAAATAAAAAGCGCAATGTGTGTTAAAAAAAAATTAAAATTAAAAGAAGCTTTTTTCTTTTCTTTTAAAATGTATTTAAATTCTGTTTCTCTCTTCTGTTACTTTACACGTATGAATGCTCTGCTCTTCTGTGAACTTAAAACAAAATGAAATAAACGTGAAAAGGAGATGTGTCTTCATTGACCCGAGTCAGTGATCTTGTGGTTGACTGTACTGCCTCTTAGAGGTTTTCATGAATAAGAAAGGAAACGAAGCCAATGATTAAATAATGTGAGGAAG